ATTTATTTTATTTATTTTTGTTTCTTTCTTTTTCTTTTTTTTGTCACCTCCCTCCTCCTCTCCTAAAGGAATTTATTTTAAAGGGTGATAGATCCAAAACCAGTTTGGTTCAGTGAATAGATCGTCGGCCTGCAGATTGAAGGTCCTGGGTTCGATTCCGGTCAAGGGCATGTACCTTGGTTGCAGGCACATCCCCAGTAGGAGGTGTGCAAGAGGCAGCTGATCGAGTTTTTAACTCTCTATTCCTTTCTCTTTCTCTTTGTAAAAAAATCAATATATTTAGAAAGAAAGGAAGGAAGGAAGGAAGGAAGGAAGGAAGGAAGGAAGGAAGGAAGGAAGGAAGGAAGGAAGGAAGGAAGGAAGGAAGGAAGGGTGATAGAAATTTGAGTATGTTCATAGACCAAGGGGAAGGTACAAGTTGAGCAAGAAATGGAAGTTACAGGACAAGGATATGTTCCACATTCATTGAAAAGATAGCAAGCCTGGCCCATGTGGCTCAATGGTTGAGCATTGGCTTATGAACCAGGAGGTCATGGTTCGATTCCCAGCTGGGGCACATGCCTGGGTTACTCGATCCCCAGTGGGGGGGTCGGGGGGGGGGGGGAATAGGGTGCAGGAGGCAGCCAATTGATGATTCGCTCTCATCATTGATGTTTCTAACTCCCTCTCTCTTCCTCCTTCTGAAGTCAATAAAAACTTAAAACAAAAAGAAAAGACAGTGAAGAGCACAGGTGAATGGACAGTATTTTAATCTTTAAACATCACTGGAAATTTTAATGTTAACATTTATTAATATTTCCCCCAAGTCTTGGTGTTTCACCAATATAGATCAATATCCCTGAGCTTTAAAAAAAAAAAAAAAAAAGCAAGAAAGGGTACAAACAATAATATAAAAATACCTGCCTGCTGCTTACTTTAAGAAATACACTACTCACTTTAGTATGAAACCCTTGTGTAACCCTTCTGATTACTAGTATATCTCCTTCCTTTCCCATTGCATAACCAAGAGGTAACTTCTCAAAACACTGTATTTTAACTCATCAGTAAGCAATACATTATGTTGGTTTGTATGCTTTATATTTTATACTAGAGGCCCGGTGCACGAAATTTGTGCACCGGGATGGGGGTGGGGTTCCCCCCTCAGCCCAGCCTGCACCATCTCCAATCTGGGACCCCTTGGAGGATGTCCAAATGCCAGTTTATGCCCAATCTCAGGGATTGGGCGTAAACCAGCAATCGGACATCCTCTCACAATCCTGGACCACTGGCTCCTAATCGCTCACCTGCCTGCCTGCCTGATCACTCCCAACTGTTCCCCCCTGCCAGCCTGGTCGCCCCAGGCAGCCTGTTGTTCAGTTGTTTGATTGTCCCTCACTAAACCCCCTGCAGCCTGGTCGTCCCACACAGCCTGCTAGTTCAGTCATTTGGTCGTCCCTCACTAACTCTCCTGCTGGCCTGGTCACCCCATGCAGCCTGCTTGCTCAGTTGTTTGGTTGTCCCTCACTAACCCCCCCTGCTGGCCTGGTCATAGGCAGCCATCTTGTGAGGAAGTGAGGGTTAATTAGCATATTACCTAGGATAAGTGATACCATACTGTGAAGAAACAGAAAAACATTCTTGGGACAACCAGTAGAAATGTGAGTGTCCCCCTTTTGCTTAGGGGTGATCATAATACTACGGCTGTCCTTATTCTTAGGAAATTACCTGTGTAAGTATTTAAGATGAAGAGAAATGAATGTTTAGCACATGTATGTCTATATGAGGGGGGAGGGTGTGCATAGGTAAGTAGTAACAACTAATAGATTTGGGTGGACAGCATATAGGGGTTCCCTGTTCTATTTGTTCAATGTCTCTGTATTTATCATGTAAGCTCGAATATAAAATGTGGGTTGGGAACCCTTCGGCACACAAAAAAACACTGCAGCCAGTCTGCTAAGCATTGGTCCTCTGCAAATTCCAGTGTCATTCGGGCAGTAGCAGGGCCTGATGCCTCACAGCTTTAAGGAATCAACTGCAAAAGGTTTCAGAGCACCAACTGAAACATCACCAAATGTTTCAGCTCAGCTTGCAGAGTTGTTTGGTTTGACCAGCACAGGATTTTAAAAAACGTGACATGAGGATGTAAAGGTATTTCAAGCAGGGTACAAAAATCAGTACATTTACCTCTGGTCCCTTCACTCCTTTTTACCTTTTACTTCACTTACCTGCCAGCTTGTGAAGGCATTTTACTTTGCGACCTCTGATTTATAAAGTACCCAATCTCATGTAGGTACTATCCCTACTCCCAGACTGCACTGAATAAATGAGAAATGCATTATATGAAGAAAAGGGAGACATATCCAGCATTGCACAAAGACTGTAAAAAACATTTCTATGTATATACTGAATGTAGTTATTTAAATGTCAACTCTACCCCATTAACTATCTCTATTCAGGAAACAAAAAGCCAAATGTAAATACAAACACACAAAAATGAAAACAGATCGGCCCCTACAATTCTGAACTGCATATAGTTCGCAACACAGAATGCCTGTTTCTGGGCCACTGCGTGTGCTGTGCTGCTGTCCACAATGCTGCTCCTCACAACCACCAGGCTAAATTAAGGGTTGGTCACTATATTGTTCTATTAACCTCTCAGGAGCCGAGACAATGTTAGCTGTCTAAGAAGTCTCCCCTGACTCACAGATACCCAGGGGTCTATTCTGTGGCAAAAGTTTCTACAACCATTCCTAGCAGTACCACAAAGAAGTTTTAATGTAAATGTGTAACATCTGCTGGTGAGTGGGAATTCACAAATGTTTACAGACACAAAAGCACAAATCTGGTCTCCTGCAGAGTGCTTTTCCTCAACATCTGCACTCTAGTCGCTGGGACTAACAGACCGCGGTCAGGCAGCCACCCTGTCCTCACTTCCACCCACTCTCCGTGTGAACGCTGCTTGCGCCCGTCAGGTCCTTTTGGAAGAGACGGGACACTTTTCCTCCTGACACTTCTGAAAGCATCTTCCTATGCCCACATCGTAGGCCTCTTGTCATCTGAACGTACATCTGTAACACTTTTGGGTTTTTTGAACCATATCCCTTTTTGAGAAGCAAGATTCTTACATTTCAAAAACAGCTCTGTTCTTTCATTTCCCAAACTGAAAAGCATATTCAAGATATATCATTTTCTCAATTTCCCACCCACTTCCCTGTTTAATTACCATACCACTATTGCTTAGCTTGCAGTAAGTACTCTGTTGTATAATAACCTCGCTTAAGTTTTTAACTGCATTTCTTATTATGCTGATGACTCAATACATCTGCTTCCAATCTGACTTCCCAAATGAACTTAAAACCAACTATCAATTGTTTAGCATCAGGACTGTGTCTAAAGCAGACTTTTCTTCTGAAAAGTGGAGGTCCTCTGTACAACTTTTTCCCCCCCCAATATATTTTAATGATTTTACACAGAGAGGAATTGAGAGGGACAGAGAGTTAGAAACGTCGATGAGAGAGAAACACTGACCAGCTGCCTCTTGCACACCCCCCACTGGGGATGTGCCCACAACCAAGGTACATGCCCATGACCGGAATCGAACCCGGGACCTTTCAGTCCGCAGGCCGACGCTCTATCCACTGAGCCAAACCAGTCCCGGCCCTCTGTACAACTTTTGAGGGAGTGAATTCATCCAGTGCCAAAGCTATTTGCTTTAGCATGCCACAAGTCAATCCTCAGAGCAATCTCACAGATTGGATGGATATTATTGCCTACACTGACAGAGTAGGAAAGGGACTCAGGTGAGCTGAGTGATCTAGCCAAGCTCACCTGGAAATAACTGTCTGGAGGGGGGGGGGAGTATTAACTCAGGATGATAATTCAAGTTTTCATCCATTCCAATAACAGCATGCTGTTCTAATTACCTATGCTAGAAAAATTGCATTTCTGTTCTCTTCCTCCTTACCCATCACAGCCAGTAGGTTGTCAAAGCACAGCATGGTTATTATGAGCACAGCTATGGAGTCAGACAGACATTGCCGAGTCCAGACTCTGCTATAATAGTTACTAGCTGTGAAATACTGTAACATGTAGAACAGCTCCTGTTCCATAGACAGAGCGTGGAAAGAGACAGTGCCATCTGCCTGGGACAGCAGAGAGGGCTGCTCGGGTGAGATCACACACATGGAGCATGTAGGTGGAGCTAGGATACAAAAACCAGGTCCATTTGGCTCCAGAGACTTGATTCATTGCCAGTATGCCAGTGTTGCCATGTATGGGAACCTTGATTCTCAATTCTTTATCTGGCCTGTGATAAAAGCTTCAAAATATTTTGAAAAGAGAATGAACAAAGCAACCATCCCTCAGAACCTATCAGAACAACATGTCGTAATGCACTGGGCTTTGAGAAAATTGTAACCACACACTAGGTGTACTTTCTGCCTCACCATCATTAGTGAGCTGAGAAAAGCCAATCGAGGCAACAACTGAAGGCATGTGCTGTGTAAACATGATTTTCATGAGTGGTAGCCTTTCAATGGCACATGGTAACTGAGTGACCTAGGCAACTTATTTCATGGCTTGTTTCCTCCAATGAAAAGTGGAGAGAAGAACAGCTTACATCTTACAGGGTTGCTGAGGATTGAATGCAATAATATGTCTAGCTTACATCTTACAGGGTTGCTGAGGATTGAATGCAATAATATGTCTAACTGCTTAGAATATAACTTGAGGAAAGTGTTCAATTTTAGTTATAGTCGCATGATCAATTTTAACTCTAAGCTGCTTATTAAAATAGGTAGAACCTGGAGGGAGAATGATTAAAAAGATTTTTAAAGTAGGATGGACAGTGATCTTACAGGCAACATTTCAAGACTCCCTATTCATAACTCCCTGTACAGACTGCTATTTTGCCACCCAGATACTAATGAATACAAATCCATACCCCCAAAGCCATGAATTCGTAACCCTGCTCCATCACTAGTGATGACAGCTCAAGTCTTGTAAGAAACACCTTCTCTCACCTGACTGGTTTTTGCTGTTCTGCACCTCTCCGTTATTTTGTGGCTGTTGGTTTGTTAAAGCACTGCTTTCTGACTGGCTGCTTAACACTTTAACAGCAGATCCCAGGTTTGCTGCTATGACAGGAAAATGCTGACCCCTCTTTAGAAGCTGCTTATGTTCCTGGTGGCGGAATCGTGGTGGTACTTCACGAGGATACCGAGGCAAGGCCTGTGGTGGCTGCGGCTGCTGTGGCTGTGGCTGTGGCTGCTGCGGCTGCTGCTGTGGCGGCTGCGGCTGCTGCTGATTGTTGGCTGTGGCTCGTTTGGCATTATTATTAGTGCTGGTTGCTGTGGAAGTGCCGTTATTAGAGTTGGCAGGCTGAGGCTGGCTTACACTGGGCTTTATCTGTTCTGGCACTGATCCCGACAAAAGAAAAGGGGTGGAAAAGATTAGCCAGTAAAGTGTACCTCCACAGTTAGCCATCTAAGTAAAAAGGCACTAAGAAAAACAATCCTAAAGGAACAAAACTTTAAATGTGTGGGGACATCCTCATTCACGGGCTCGTTTTCCTAGGAGAGATCACTACCAGCAGTCATGTTGCCTTCTGCTAACTCCCTATCCAGCGAGGTCGTGGAGACCACCGCCATTCCTGGGTCCATGACAGCTTGAGCTTACCATCCTAGTCCATTCTCTGATTGGAGAACAAGCACTGATTATACAACTATGGAACTCACAATAAAGTTTTGGTAACCTTAAAAGAATCCTCGATTCCCTGGTAACTGTTCTTAATCTGCTTCATGTTTAATGTATTTGGCCTCTATTTTCATCTTCGAAAGACAACACAACACAAAAACAAGAGTAGAAAATCTGTCGCTTAACATCAGCCTGATCACTGAAGGGTGTGGGTTCAATCCCCAGTCAAGGGCATACACCTGAGCTGCAGGTTTGGTTCCCTGGCCAGGACACGTGCAGAAGGCAACCAATCGATGTGTCGTTCTCACATAGATGTTCCTTTCTCTCTCCTTCCCTCCCCTCCACTCTATCTCTTAAAAAAAAAAAAAAAAAAAAAAGGAAAAATATCTTCAATGAGACTTAAAAATAAAAGGAAAAAAGGAAGGAAAGAAACAATCTGTTTCCTTACAAAAAGGCAAAGTTGATGTTTTTGTGTTAAAATGTAAAGTCTGAATCAAACTGAGAACAGGGAAGTAAATACAAAGATAACAGGATGAAATCTATGAGACTAATCAAAATTGAAGAAATAAACCTCAGAAATAGCTATTTGTCTACTATATGAACAACCAGAAATTACAGAGAGTGAATTTTGAACTCCTAGAAGAGATTAAATAAGTAAACAAATGGACAGACATGCCGTAAGCCAGTTAAGGTATGCCCAATCTCTAGAACCACAGATACAGCAGATACAGCACGGTACATGAACTTCTGGTGCGAGACTGACGAGGTTTCCAGCCCAGGTTGCCTCCCCTATGCTCTGTGCCTTTGGGCGAGGTGCAGGAAACTAACTGAGGGATAAAACTGTGCAGGGCTGTCCTCAGATTACATTATGTGGATTATTTACGTGGCACAAACACAAGGCTGTATAAACAGTGGCACAATAACACCTTCAACTTCTGTAGCAGCTTAATGTTTCTGTGAGATTCTGATGCATGCTTACAAATGCCATTGTCACATAAATAAAGTGAAATGTCTCCACATGAGTTGTGAAGAAACTCACAGAAAACTATTCAAGGCCTGAAATTAAAACAGCCACAACCACTAGCTGGGTTGTCCCTGTCTTTCTGTGTACACAGTCCATCTTGTTCTAGTATCCAGCACAATGTAAACACTCAGTAAACAGAAGCTTTTACTGTGGCCCAAATAAAACAAGTGTTTTATTCAAATGCCTATAGTGCGTATGATGCTGTGATGAAGTGTTGGTCATCTGTGTTGTTCCCAATAGTCATCCAATTTCCACTTACACACCCTCAGTTCTAAAGTCTCCTCTCATTTAACAATCTAGCCCCACTAGTGTTTCCTTTCTCTAAAAAACTGATGGATTTAGATTATATCACTAATAGTTTTTTAAAAATGTTTTCATTGATTTTTAGAGAGGAAGGAAGAGGGATAGATAGAAACATCAATGAGAGAGGAGCATCACTGACTGACTGGCTCCTGCACATCCCCTACCAGGGATCGAGCCCACAAGCTGGGCAGTGACCCTGACTGGGAATTAAACAGGCGATCTCTTGGTTCCTGAGTAGATGATCAGCCACTGAACAAAACTGGCTGGGCAATACTTACTTTTCTTAATTCCTCACTTGAGGATATTTCCCACTGATTTTCAAACAGAGTGGAAGGTTGGAAGGAGGATTGGGGGAGAGAGGAGAAACATCAATGTGAGAGAGACATATCAATTGGTTGCCTCTCACATGTGCCCAACTGGGGTTGGGTATCAAAACCATAAGCGAGGTACGTGCCCTTGACTGGGAATCGAACACACAACATTTTAGTCTGTGGGCTGACGCTCTAATCACTAAGTGAAACCAGCCAGGGCAATACTAATACTTTTTAACATATGATTTTGGCCTCTTATTTAAAAATATATTTATTGACTTCAAAGAGGAAGGAAGAGGGAGATAGAGATAGAAGCATCAATGATAAGAGAGAATCACTGATGAGCTGCTTCCTGCATGTCCAACACTGGGGATCAAGACTGCAATCATGACATGTGCCCCAATAGGGAATCGAACCATGACCTCCTGGCTCAAAGGTCAATGCCAACCACTGAGCCACACCAACTAGGCTCCTTTCCATTTAAAAGAAAAAATGTTTCTTAGGGCAACTGAAAAGCCTCTTATTAATAATCATTTGGGCCAAGTACATCCTACGTCTAATTTCTTTATGTATGAAATTTTTGTCTCTCAGACAATTAATGCTCCCAGAATGTAGCAATAATGTATATTCCTTTGTCATGAAAAATGTAGGGCATTGGATATTCTAAAGAACCTCTAAAACAATAAAAAAAAGTGTATGTAATTATAATTATAAAATTCTAAGGAAAAAAAACCCTCAGCTTTTACACACTTAGTCCTGGGACTCAGAGTGGTTTTTGGCACTTGAATATACCTGAAAGTGGTATAGCTACCCTCTGCTAAAAACCCAGGCTTGTCTGCTACTTTATGAAGAGGAAATGATGGTGACAACAATTTAATACCCAAACAAGATGATATTTGTGTGAGAGCATCAGGAAAATGTTCTTCAATGTGGTCAAGAAATCAGAAAACACTTGAATGACCCACATGAAGACATGCATGAGAACCCTAACACTACCTCAAGAGCGACGGGGAATTTGAAAGCAGGATTTATATGCCACCCAGCAACTCCATTCCTATTTCAAACAACTGCTGTTCTTATCAGTCAAGTGCCACAAGGAAACTAAAGCTGAGATAGGTACTCAGTTCTGGGGCTAGAAATAAGTAAAAACATTAATTAAGACAAAAAAATAATGCAGAAAATAAAAACCAAAAACATCTAAGACAATGTAATTATTAATTACAAAATGAAACTAAATAACCTGAAGTTAATCTCAAGTGTAAACATGAGATACAGTAGTAAAGAGCAAAGGAAAAACTAACAGTGTATATAGGTGAAGTGGAGGGCAAAATTGCTGGGTAATGACTATAAATAAACACTATAAAATGTATTTAAAACATTGGCTATTTTGCATGTGTAGTTAAAACTTAGGATAATCATATCAGTAAATATCCAAATCAATGGAATAAGAAGAAAAAAGAAAAAAGAAAACTTGATCCATTCAACAGATACAGAAAATGCAATAAAAAGAACTATCTCAATTTTGTCGTTAATAAATGTGTATGTGTTAAATTCACTTGTTAATTAAAGCTCTTAAACGGAGTTAAGAAAATAAAAATTAAACTTAAGGAATATACTTTGTAAAAATTGCTCCTGAGCCCTAACCGATTTCGCTCAGTGGCTAGAGCATCAGTCTGTGAACTGAAGGTTCCCAGGTTCGATTCAAGTCAAAGGGCACATGCCTGGGTTGCAGGCTTGATCCCCAAGAGGGGTGTGCAGAAAGCAGCCAATCAATGATTCTTTCTTATCATTGATATTTCTTATCTCTCTCTCCCTCTTCTTTCCTCTCTGAAATCAATACAAATCTGTTTTGTTTTGTTTTAATTGCTCCTGAAACAAAACAATGCAGGGAAATTGTGGGTTGGGGAATGGGGATAGGGATGTAGAAACAGATACTACCAAGAAATGCTAACAAAATTTAAAGAAAGCAGCAGTAGCTGAGATTGGTTTGGCTCAATGGATAGAGCATCGGTTTGGGGACTGTAGGGTCCCGGGTTCGATTCCGGTCAAGGGCATATACCTTGGTTGCGGGCATATCCCCAGTGGGGGGTGTGCAAGAGGCAGCTGATCGATGACTCTCTCATCAATGTTTCTAGTTTTCTATCTCTCTCCCTTCCTCTCTGTACAAAATCAATAAAATATATTTAAAAAAAAAAAGAAAAGAAAAGAAAGCAGCAGTAATATCAGATTTTTTAAATTAGAGGAGAAAAGCATTATAAAGGCTAAAAAATATTCTGCATTTATTAAAAAGCCAATTAAAAAGATATAAATAGCTAAGTACTTTTATATGTCAAATCTGAGTCTCAAAATATATAAAACCAAATGGAGACAGATTAAGAAAAACTGAATAAAAGCAAAACAATATATTCTGAAAACAGATAATACAAAACCTTTTTGACAAGTACCCAAGAAACAGTACAGACACACGCTCTCTAAAGAAAACATCAACAAACTGCAAGAAGTAGAAGACAGATATTTCTGAATTACAATGCAATCACAGTAGAAACAATAAAACTAGCAATTAATATTGCCTTAAATAAATTTTGAGTTAAGTAGTAAGTACCAAAACTGCAGGGTTATCAAGAAAATAACAGCGAAAACAACATACATAATTTTAAGATAGGACTAAACCAGTGCTCAAAGAAAAATTCATAGCCTTATTTCAGCAAACAAGAATATAATGCATCCAACTCAAATTAAAAACAAATCAAAGGAAGCAGAAGGAAGGAATTAGTAAAGATAACATAGAAATCGATGACTTTAAAAGTAAACCAATAAGTCCAAGGCATGGTTCTATGGAAGAATAAACTACCAGTTAACCCGGTTTTTAAAAATTTTAAATAGAAAAAAAGAAAAAAATTTTTTTAATTAAAATATTTCTTTAAGTTCAACTCTATAAATAATTTGAAAAGCTGGAGGAGGGAAGCATTTAACACTGATCTCAGAAGAGGGAGGAGAAATACAGATTAATAAGCATAGAAGAAATTTATAAAATCACCAATCAGTACCAAGTGATTACAATGATCAATATAACCATACATTCCTT